TGACACGTCCGCGGACTAACAGCGAAGATTAAAGAATAACGAGAATGGGAGAGTCTATCGTACACTGATAGACTGACTTATTTAGTCCAAACGAGATTCGTTAATTGTTAACGAAGTGGAGAGTTGAGTATGGCCGAATAAATATTTGTTAGTAGTCGACGAATGGTTCAGTTGAGAGGGGAAAGTCGAGTCAAACAAGACTCCTCAAATGTGCGTTTGTTAACGATCGACGAATGAACATTTGGTGAGACCGAATGGACCCTAGCCTATAGCCAAATCCGTTTGTTAATAGTAAATAATCCGTTTTAATTTATCCATTTGTTAATACGCAACAATATTATCGTTCATTTCAATCAAGGAGATTCGATTTGATGATCTCCGATTTTATTTCGCATGGAGGAAAAATTGCGGGAAAAATTATGAGAAAAATTTAGTGAATTCGTTGACTCGGAATCTAATGGAATTTTATTGAGCTGTCCAGGAATTTTTCCAGTGCTGCTCCAGAATTTTTCTCATTCTTCATATTCTTGTACATATTCTATTGTTTTGACTTTGCAAACAAATTAAGTTGTGCGATTTATATAAAATAAATTGTTATGTGTGAGAAAAAATGTGAAAGTAATTTTTTAATGTAATTTTTTAAATAATGCTAAACTATGCTGTTGCTCATAAAAAAACACTCGTTTTGGCGTTAATTTACAATATTATTGTTGATTTTAATCAAGGGAATTGGATTTGAGGATATCCAATTCCGTTGCGCACCTGGAAAAAATGGAGGAAAAAGTGTGAGAAAAATTCTGGGTCTGTGAATGTTATCGTTTATTTTGAAAACTAATGGAATTTTATTAATCTGTCCCGGAATTTTTCTTATTTTCCGTATTCTTGTACATTTTCTATTGATTTTAGTTATCAAACAAATTAAATTGTACCAACAATATCAAATAAATTGTTATGTATAAGAGAAAGTGTGAAAGCAATTTTTTTGCACAATTTTTTAAAGTAATCTGGTAAATATTTGGAGATTATTGTTGAATCGTGGAAACGAATTAAATTTTATTCAGCTGTCGGAGAATTTCTGCAGTGCTGCTACAGAATTTTCCACATTTTTCATATCCTCGTACGTTTTCTATTGCTTTTAATCAATTGAATTCTACTAATAATGTCAAATAAATTGTGCTGTGCGAAAAAAAGTGTGAAGTAAATGAAAATTTTTTTTTCAAGCAATTTGTTTAATAAGACCGTTTCGCCTATAATAAACCACCCATTTAGCCCCAGTAGTCACGAAAATAAACTTGAAAATTTTCTTTTCCCACGAAATAAAATATCGCATTCTATTGAGACAAGCAACATTCTCAATTCTTAATTCATCCTTTTGTCGTTCGAAATACGTCAATAATTACCCGTAAAATTGTTTCATCAAGGACTCTCAGCCACAAACACCATGAAAACTCGCCTGACTGTGACATCAGCCTACTTACAATTAGCAAGTACCCACCGTAATGACTCGTAATTAGTAGTAATCAAGAAGCAAACGGTTAATTGGAATTGACCGGATAAAAGAATTAATGGAGAGGGATTCAAACTGGGTTGAGGAACATCGAGAGTATCCAATAGCCCTCGTACTCTGATAATTCACCCATCTGTTCCTCGAAGTACAATTTTTTCATGTTGAATAGAGGCTGAAGGCCTTTTAACTCGCCTGTGTGTTGATACTATCGTTGGGCGCAAGCGTGTGATGACGAACCGCTGGCGGCAATCGTAAAATTAAGGCGCGATATACAAATAGTAAACATCATTGCTGCTTATTCCTTAGTGTTGAAGGAAAATTATCACAATTAAGTAATTTTTTCGTGGATCAATACAATTCAGGCATTTTCAAAGCCCAAGGAACAAAACATTTTCCATTCCAGATGAGAATAATGACAACAATAAAAAAGACAATAGTCTTTTTGGTTTCAAATGGACGTTTTGTAATCGTCCAAATTTAAGTTTTCAATTTTTTGTGATAGGGCAACTAAATATGGTCCAAACAATCTGAATGTTTGTGGTCTTTTTCCTTAATTATTTTTTCGAAATTTTTTTACAAGCCATCAAACGAATTTCATGAATTTTTTTCTTGTGTTTTTTGTTTTTTCCTTTCCAAATTGTCTCCAAAATTAATCATTCGTAAGCATTCTCATTGTGCTATATGTATGATTATTAAAAACAATGTGTTTATGTTCGTCGCCTGTTCAATCTTCATATTTCAATAAGTAATTCGGAAATCCACAGGGATCTCACTGGATAAGGTCTAAATATCACTATAAATAAAATCTTATCTAGCAAAACCCTCTTTTCACGAATTTGGAGTATTCTCTCTCCATTCATAATTTTTCCGCAATTCCACGCGACGATTCCATGAACTTAAAATTGTTCTAAGACTTCCAAAATTTCCTCGAATTTTTCATAAAATCTGGAAATTTTCTCTAGTACTTTTTTAGAAAAATCGAGCGTTCTGTGAAATTAGTGCGAAAACTCGAGAAATCTTTTGAATTTTTAGAATTGCTTAAGCCTTTTTGATTTCATCGAATCAGCTTCCACATGATTTTTATTTTACAATCCTGTTTTGTATTATTTTTCTCTGTGAATTTACATGGATTTTACAATCTTCTCTTGCGTAATAACCAAATTAGTGTGTACATAGATGGAGAATATCAACTGATAGATATTATTGTAGATTATTTTCTCGTTTCTTTTCGTAAACATCGCTCACGAAAATGCCCATTCTTTCAATGCCAACTTTTTTATAGCGTTTCAATTGATGATAGTACTATGAAATGAAAAACTAGAAAAGACCAATAAAATAGTAATTAAAAAAAGAGAATCCATTAGGAAGCAACAATAACAATACTCATCTATTAAAAATGCAGTTATCAACTTCTTTCAATTCTAAAAATAATGACTATAAATTGACGAATTGAAATATGGAAATAACGCGAGATTCTCCAAATGACGAAGTCTTTAAAACGAGTTTTATTTGTCGGTTTTATTCGTGCCATGTAGATAACGCAGTTTTATAATGCGGTTTTAATTATTCTATTTGTCAGGAGTGTACCATATAACCATTTCTGGTACACTCTGTTTACCAACGCTTTTCCCCTTGTCGTATACTTGTGCACACCCCAGTGTACAACTCAACTTTTATAACGTTAATATTATTATTTGAGGCTGAAAAACACTGACGTGTCACACGGTGCGGTCACGTGCACACACGAGTAATTACCACTGCGTTAGCCAGCGATAATTAGGAGATTATTAGACTCTCTGTCTTTATCTGTCGTTTTAATGATACGTTTTTTTTTCGGTCTTCTTCTGCTCTCGGGCTTCATTTTTTTTTTAATTGCCCGGGTGACGTGGCCGGCTGTTTGTGTGGGTTCTACCAACGACAACGATTCAATTAAGCACAAGCTGCAATGTGCGTATTGTCGCTAATCAATTCTACGACGTTTCAGAGGTTTTTTTATGCACGCGAATACTTTTTTCAACTGTGCGGGACAAAATTGACACGAAAAACTACCGGAAAAATTGAAAAATTTGGGGTTAACGTCAGAAAAAATACGTGACAGCTCGCGCGATCGGGTGACTGAATGGTTATGTCGGGTGTTTTTACGGAAATTCGGGGAAAACTGTGAGGCAGCAGGTGGAATATTCCCTTTCAATTCCAGGAACTTTATTGGAGTGAAACGTAATTTGAACCGAACGAGTCGTATTTGTGAGTTTGATAGATAAATTTTCGGAGTTATTCCCAGCAAATTTTTACGTTTGTTGTGGTTCGCAATTCCTCTGTCGACCTTGGCCCCTTGTAAACATATTCATGGGGGACGCGGGCGAGACAGGTGAAACTAATGTTTTGGTTTACATTTTTTCGGCGCAAGAGCAGCCGATGTTTACGGATGAATTTCTATGAAATGGGTGTCGTACTTCACGATTACTTTTTAAATGGAAACTTTTTCGCTGTTTTCATGGTAATGTGTGAATGAGGAAAATTGTTTTCCTCATTCATACATTAATGGAATTCATTTATAATTGAGAAATTTATCCGGGTTTTCAAGGCGTATTCGTTAATAATTAATACAAAAAATAATATTATTCGCAATCCACTGAGAGTTTCATCCTGACAGAAAAAGATTCGTTGACTTAACGATTATCAATTTGGAAATATTTAACTTTGATGTCCGGTCATAGTATGAAAACATTGTCAACGGTAAACTAATTGTTGTACGTAATCGAAATTACGAAAAATTATGATACTCAACTGTAAATTTCCACGTGTTACGGATCTCATCCTGTTTACATCACCCATATAAAAATTACGGATTTTTTTGGCGAAACCGGGTACCTAAATTTTAATGTAATCACAAACAATTGAAAGAATTTTGATGAAATTGAGATTAGATCGAAATTTTTAGGTTATTTTCATGGCACGATTTTCAAAATTCTTTTCTTCATTCAGACATTACTGAAATTAATTTATAATTAAGAAGTTTATCCGAGTTTTCAAGTTTTGTTCATTAACAATTAATACAAAAAAATACTAATATTCGCAATTAACTGAGAGTTTTATCCTAACAACTCAAGATTCGTTAACTACTAACGACCACAAATTTCGTAATATTTAACTCTGACGTTCGGTAATATAGTCTAAACACCTAGTTAACGATAAACTAATTGTTCCACCAGAAAATATTGGGTTCCAAATAACGAAATACAATACCGAGCTGTAAATTTCCACGTGTTACGAGTCTGATAAGATAATCCAGCGTTTATCTTCCGTACAAAAAATTAATAGGTTTTCATAACAACAAACGACTGCCATAATTAACCTCCACCAATTACCGAGGAACAATAAGAAAAATTGAGACAATGTTTTCTCCTCTCAACAGTCTCCACTGTTTCCCCCGTTGAGTTGCGCCCCTCTTTTGTTTTATTCCCACTCATTCGAGAATAAAAATTAAACTCACCTGTCTTGTAATACCGCCGAGCCTCCCCCTCCAGCAGACTGTTTGTCTCCGTTCTCTGATGTTCCCCGATTACCCCTCTATATGCCACTTTATTGCCGTCAAACTCAAACAAATTGTCACGACACGTTACGTCATCACTCCAGGGAAAAAATCCGTGATCCGTTTTGACAGTGATAATTTCAACCAACTGTTTTTACTTGAATTATTAATCAGCCCTGGGGGAGGGCAATGTGACACTCAAACCAGTCGATAGTTTATCGCTCCAGTGTGACACATGCCCACTTTTTCAACTCTTCAGTTTATTTCTTTTTCCAGAAAGAAACTCGTCACTCTGTTCACACAACACAATCCCCCGCTGCGGCTCGCGTTCTAATAAATAAAAACACAGTCAATGTTTACCCCTGAAACCACAAACAATCACCAAATCCTTGTTCACAGAATCAGAATAAACCAATTTCACAGTTTAATTCTCCATTCACTTCCTCAATCCTTCAATTCTCAAATCAAAAAATGTAATTCCGTTTATTTCACCGCAAGAGCAATCGCCAAACGAATTCCGAACGAACGCCAAACAATTCTCTCACAGATAATCTCAATTCACTGAATCTCCGGTAAAACGTGACTGTCACGTTGCGCGCGTAAGACAGGGGAGAAAATTTTCCCTCGCGGAGTAAAACGGTGAAATACACGAGTTACGCTCTGAGAACCTCGCGTGCCGCAGTCTCGCTGCGTTGTGAGCTCAACGGAGTGTATTCCGAGCACTCGCGGGAGAAGAGGTGGCCTTAACCGCCTGTTCCCCCCTCCCTTCCCGCGCGCCCCACCGCTGGGCGACTCACACTCCCCCGCGGCTTTCAAAACCGTTGTATTTTCAGTGTATAAACCGTTCAGTTTGGCAACATGGTGGGGGTAAGGAGGCGTGACATTGGGCGGTACCGATGCGCGGGAGGTGGGCCGCAAGATCTATTCCAACATTGTTATGATTGTTATGAGTGTCCAGAGAGGCTTTTGCCACTCTCTCAGTTTTGCGAGTGCGATTCGATGAGTGAGGAGGGAGTTTGGTGGGTGGTTGGGGGCGGGGGGTGGACTTTTTTTTTTTTTT